AGTTGATATTTATTTCACTGGAGTTGAAATTAACATTTTTAAACTTTTCACATTTCTTTTATAGTAGATAATTTGTTGGATGACTTGTTACTGCTTTGTATTAGATTTTACTTCCTACTGAGACAGTCAGATACAGAACAATTGATGGTCTTCTGCCAGTAAATCCAATCATGAACTTTTAGAGCTGAAAGAAATGTACAGTATCTAGAAAAGCCTTCCTCAACATTATGTCCTGCAGATTGTTTTTTTATGTGTATATAAAAAAAATAGAATTTCTAACTTTAAGTTTCTCTGAATGAATTTATTTCTGATTAAAAACTGGTCAAACTGAGATGTCTTTCTGGACTTCTATGTAATTAATGTGCTATATATTATGTATAGTTTTACTTTTAGTAGGGATTTGGGGATATCCGAATGATCTGGAGAAAAAAGATTGTCACTTGGTCCTAGAAAGGTCTTTGTGGAAGTTCTTATAAATGCTATAAGTCTATAAGATTTTCTTTATATTCTTGAGTCAGTTTTTTTTCCACTTTTTGGGTTTGTGTCTTTTGGTGATTTTTCTTCTCTTTCCTCTAAAATGTGTTGTAAATGCTATTATTTTTTTTCCGCTTTGGTTCAGAGTTGCAGCTTTAGTGGCTTGGATAACGGTGTCCCAAATTGTATATCCTTTAAAATTTCTAAATATACATAACACAATCCGTGAAGTGAGATAAAAAATATGTTATTGTTAGTTATCAAATAGAATAAGAGTAGAGAGAATTTTTGGTAGATTTCTTAAAGGCTTAACTACAAAAAAAGAAAATGTTGTTGTTGTTGTTGTTCTTAGGTGCCGTCGAGTCGAAGTTAACTCTCAGCAACTGTATGAATGAAAGGCCTGAGCACTAGAAAAAAAGAATATATAAAATATATACCATATGCTTTCCAATCTAAGAAATTTTTCATTAGGTGGCTATTTTTGTCACTATGAGTAGGAGGTACTTAATTCTAAAAAGATGTCTCAGTTATTAATAAAAACAAGGCAGAATCTATAACCTGTTTGTGCTCCTTGAAGCTATTCATCAGAATTTATCCTTGAAGCTATTCATCAGAATTTACATAAGTAATGCATTTTCCTAAATATTTTTAATGATTTTCATACCAAAAGAAGTTTCAGGAAGACA